GCCCGAGATTCGGCCACGCTGCCGGAGAGGGCGGGGGAGCGGCGCTGGGCTCCCCGCCGGCCCGGCCCCGCGCGAGCGCCCCGCGGGGGAAGGAGGAGAGGGGACCGCAGACCATGCGGGGGTCTCCGGCCGGGGCGAGCGGGGAGCTGCCCGGTGGCAGGGCTGCTTTCTCCCCTGCCGAGCGCTTCCCGGAGCCGGAGCGTTTGCAGGGAGCCGCTTCCCTCGAAAGTTTCCTCAGACGCGCGTCCCGGAGGCCGCGTTCGCCCCAACCGCTCTCCGAACCCCACATCAGCTCCGTGCAAGAAAAGCGGATCTGGAAAATAAACGCATTGCACAAAAATACCATCCACTGGCCCTCTGGGACGACTCCTCCTTTGCTTAACCACGATTTCTTGATGCCCCACAATTGTCACCCACAACAGCCTAAATTAAAATCAGCCTGAACTCTGGCAGAGTTCACACAACCCAACTGGCTTCCCTGAATGGTTTCACCGTTCTTTTCACCCAAGAGCTTTGATGGACCACCCCATGGTTTAGCAATGATGTATGAACCCAACCAATAGCTACTTTAACACACTGTTCACAAACATGGTCCGTTTAACCATGGTTTGTTGAGTAAGCTTAGTTTACTGGGTTCCCCTAGTGGCTTCATGTGCAACAGATGTTTCCTGTCATATAAACTAAGGAGTTATTTGTGTATGCAATCAAGCATTGCTAAGTAAACAATGGCGGGGCAGGCTGGCTAAATATGTGCTGCTTTTTGTCTTGACAGGGATTAGTAGCCAAACCACATGCAAGATCTGGCAGGAGCATTGACAGATCCTAAGCGAGGCCCCAGCGCTCATCTGTGCCGCAAAGTGCTCTTAAAAGCAATCCTAACACACTGGCACCTTCAAAGAAACGACACAAATGCAACAATGTGCCATCTGTGGGGTGTCAGAAAAATCAAGATGGCTCTTCGGCTTTGAAACGGAGATGAGCACCACCCCCTAGAGTCGGGAATGACAAGCACATATATGCAAGGGGAATCTTTACCTTTACCTTTGGGGAATTAAAAAATACAAGGCACACAGAATAGTTATCTTTGTTTAAATGAATCAGTGGGAGAATGAAAAAGGATTATAAAAAGAATAGTACCATTGAACTTGGAAGATTAGGGTTACACATACCTATTTGTATTGTTATTGTTAACTTTTTAAAAAAAACACTTGACCCAGTCAATACACTGTCCACAAAATATGTATGGTGTCAAAAGAAAACTGCAAATAAAACATGTTTTTTAAAAAAGATAGAGTAGGATTTCTGTCTCCATAAGTATGCATTAAATGTTGCTCCCATAAGCATGTATTTGTTTTACAGGTGTGCAAATTAAGTTATCTCAGGGTTCGGGTGTGCAAATAAACTAGGGGTGTCCAAAGCTAAGCCACTATCATTGGTGAATTATTTTTTTAGAATTTCAGCAGTGAAGAATACAGTATTTGTAGCGTTGGGATCGATGTTCCCTGGGCTTGGTTGTTTTCTGGTAGAAGGTATGTTACCAGGCTAGGGAACGTCCTCTCTGCAAAGAAGAGCAGAACTCCCTAGTGGTTTTGAGCAGGGGTGTCAAACTCAAGGCGCCCGGGGGTCAGATTTGGCCTGCGGGGCTGCCGTGGAAACAGCAAAGGACCAGCCCTGTGATGCTTCTGCCAGTGAAAGCAGGCTCCAGAGCTCCATTTTGGGCTGCCACGACCTCCTGCAAGCCTCTGCCAATGAAAAGGGAGCTCGGGAGAGCCGGCCCACCCGAGCTCCTTTTTCACTGGCAGAGCATTGTAGGAGGCCCCGGCAGCTGGAAACGGAGCTCTAAAGCCTGTTTTCACTGGCAGAGCACTCATGCCACCACAGGCACCTCCGACAGGAGCGACGTTGAGCGCTGGCCATGCCCACCCCGAGGTCAAACATCATCCTGATGTGGCCCTCAATAAAATCGAGTTTGACACCCCTGATTTAGAGAGAGCCTCTTGTCCTCCCAATCTTGGTTGGGACACATTTTGAACACTTCCTGGTTCTTTGATTAGGATAACTATTTCTCCCTGGCCCAGTGCTGCTTCCTGCCTCTCTGGTTGTTGATTGCCAGGGGAACATAACAGATACCCAAGCAACTTCATAAATATACCTAGCTACACAAACTATTGTGACACAGCCTGGGAGATGGTTAACTATCCCATGCATGAAAGGCGCTTCTGAGACAACCAACAAGCTATGATATCCTCTCAGCATCACTGTGAGACAGTTCTACAACAAAACAAAACCAAATGTTTTCTCCGTAAAATGTGTTTTTATTTTCCATTTTCCATTTTCATACAGTCACATATATACTGTGCATAACCGGGGCCATAGAACATTAAACAATAAACACAGCAACTCCTCTTGCCAACAATACCCCCCAAAATAGAATCCCAATATCCCTCTACGACCCTCCATTCACTTCTTTCTTCCGNCCAGAGCCGACTCATAGGGCCCCTCGCTGTCGGAGTCTGGTGGCAGCTCCAACGGCTCCTGCTGGGCCACAACAGGTTACTATCTTGAGTGGCTTTCAAAGGGAAATGGGTTTTTTATTTGGTGATTGGTTGGTTGGTTTATAAAAAGAGGATGATGCATTGTTGTTATCCAGAATTTTTTCCCCGCATTTGGAGTTGGACCGTTACCTTACGGAACTGCACCAAATGAAAGTGATTTACAGAGCAGGTGTTTATAGCAGGGGAAACATTCTTTGAATGTTTGCCAATGGATTGAATGAAGCAACCTTTTGTTGGTCTTGTTGTCACTAGGCTTTTAATTTTTAATTTCCTTTTTGGTTTCATTTCTACTGCTCCCTAGACAATTAGGTCTGGGATATATTGAAACGGACAGCTATGGCCAAACAAGCAGAGGGTTTTATTTTTTGCCCCCTCTGCCTTAGACCGGAGTATCTCAAGGGTGGGATGTCCGTTTGTGTGTTTGTGGGGGAGAGAAACGGGTAACTCGAGGGGAAAGCCTCAAAAGCTGAAACCACAGTTAAGAGGAAGTCCAGCCTTGCGAAGAGGGCACACGCGCGTTCCCTGGAACCCTTGTTGGGGTTGTTAAGATTGGCTGGGAGACATCCTGTCACTTCCACCCAGCCACAACTAAGCCTTAGTTGTCAAGTGATGAGTCAGCCTGTCACTCTAGCTGCATTTCTCAACTGGATTGCACCAACATCTCCCAGCACAACATAGGGCGTGACGAGGGAGAATAGCGGCTTGATTCCTGCAGATATCTGGATTAGACAGCTTGTAACCCAGACGCCTTGCTCTACGGCAACCAGGAGGATGGCTCATGTCAACATGTCAAGCGGCATTGGTTACAACAGGGTCATGTCTCTGCCCAGCCTCCATTTATCCATCCGAAGGTTAGTTGGGCAATGTATTGTCTGCCACAGCGAGCACGGAGTGTTACGTCTGGCGCACGGGGGGTGCTCGTGAGTGCATGTTTCCAGTCAGGCTAGAGAAAACTTGTTAGTTGCCTGAGTCAGTGGTGAGAGATAGGAATTGGGGGTCATGGAAATCTTGGAGTTTGTGACTCTTGAGTTGATGAGAAGCTAGCATTGATTAGTCCAGTGTTTCTCAACCTTGTCAACTTGAAGATGTCTGGACTTCAACTCTCAGAATTCCCCAGCCAGCATTTGCTGGCTGGGGAATTCTGGGAGTTGAAGTCCAGACATCTTCAAGTTGACAAGGTTGAGAAACACTGGACTAGTATTTGAGGAATCGCACATTGCAATGAAGGGCACTAGTGGTGTGTGGTGGAAGATACTCAGGGTTGGAGAATAGCACTGAATCTTGTCGAAGAGCACTGTGGGTGGTGCCTTTCATCATATTTCTGAAGAACTTTTTAACTCGCTGAAGGGTGAGAATTCCGTTAATATTTTTGCATGCTTTGTTAATGCAAACATCTTACGCCATTGTTTCCTTGAGTCTTAAAGCACCCAGAAGACTGAATGGGACTTACTTCCTATACACGTTGTGCTGTCAGTTTTCTTACAGTGCAGAAATGCAACTGGAACAATTAACCACTATATTAGAAATATGATGTTATACAGGAAGCAGTTTATTCACCAGCAGGGGGAGTAAAAGATTTTTT